TGTTTCTCAAGTGAGCTACATGGGACACGTTTTTTCTGGGTGGTTCGTAGAAAGCAGAAATCACGTCTGTTACTACATTGTTGAATTTGTACGCACGAAAAGCTATCCCGTAAAGACATCTTGTATCTTTTCGCTCCATCGCACTTTGCGTGAATATCTGTTTGTTCTGTTTAGACTTGGTAGCAAACCAACATTCAGTAATGGATGTGCCATTATTGATTCAATATCTTTGAATTCATTCATTAGTCTTTTGCCAAGTAGCCCGGAAGGCTGGTATTCTTTGTCAACCATGTTGGAGCTGCAAATTTTCGAACGTATGGGTAGCGATTAATGTTGACATAATTGACCACTGTCGCGTCTGTGCCCACCGCGAGGGCACAATGACGAGTCAGTAGGCGATGTTGGACATAGAGTAGCGGCCATCAGAAGTGTACCTTGAAGTAGTAGAGCGCTAGTCCGCTGCTGTGCAATACGAAAAACGAAAAAGATTGATATAATGCATTTTAACGTATACAGTCAAAACGAAATATTTCTGTGATGGCTATTCGCTTAGTTTTTACATATAATGGCGTTCGCTTCATGCATAACTGATTACTTGAGCAATTGGCAGTGTGAAGCAAACTCGATACACCACTTTCTAGATATACGAACTACTGTAATATTTCTGCTGGAGTCGTGATTCCAAAACTGTTTCAGTTTGTATTATAGAAAATGAGAAGATCGGCCAGCTTTCGATAGTATTGTCTGTTCCTGTAACCTTCTGTGGATATGTGACTAACCGCTGAGAAAAGGAATACATCCAGCCGTCTGTAGTAAGTTTCGACAGCGCTTCATTTCTGACTTAATTTTTGCACCCTGTTTACCGAAGCGGCAAGTTTGTTGACGATGATAAAATTCCACGAGACATCACTTTATGGAAATGATGTAATCTCTTTAAGTCCGGGCCGTCATGACTAATGGACAGCAGTTGAAGCACGTCCATTGATGAATGTAAAAGTGTTTTCTGATGGACATGTTTTCAATCGCGATTTCAATAAGATGTTTGATTGTTTCTGCGTGACTATGAGTTGAAAAATAATGATAATTTCAGATGACAGAAGATGAGGAAAAGCGATTCATCGTTCGGGGCACCAAATACAACAGATGGTAGAACTTTTATTGTCAACTGCAACAGATCGTAGCATATCAGGGGTAGGTTGAGTATAAAAAAGGATTATTCTGATGAGGAAGAGGAAACGAAATAAAAGTTCAGTTGGAATATCGGTCTTCCTTACACTTTCATGGTTGAGACATTCTGGTCACTCCTTTTGATGAGGTTGCCGGTGGGGTGCTGATCTCTGTTTGGATGTCATTGGCCATGAATGTCTTTTTGTAAAAGCGGAATTTTCTTGAACAATTTTTTCCTACTGAGAAGTACTCATTATCAGTCTCGGAAGGAAGAAAACGGGTGGGGCAAGACCATGGCTCGACCTCAGGGACCATCTGTGAGTTCGATGCTCTAGCGATTGACCAAACCCGGTCTGACATACACTGTGGTAAACTTCTTGTTCAACGGAATTCGTTAATAAGAAAGGCACTCCTTTTGCGGAGTCGATCCCAGCAGTCCCGGAGTTCGAGGCAGACATCTCAGGCTGTGCCACCACA